CCTATGGTTCGGCAGTCCTGCCGGCCGTATCTCTGTATATCCGCTTTTCGCATTTAAAATCTTAGTAACATTACCTTACTAACTGATTGATTCATCATCGCCGAGCCGATCAATTCGAATTGTATTCAGTTTGTTTTGTAGCTCCAACATGACCGCACTTGAAAAATTTCTATCCACGCGAATTGGCTAGCGTTTATACTACCTATATTATAAACGGGACGGTATTAATTACTTCATATTATATCATATTATAATTTTTTTTTTAATACTTCAAGGACCAATGAGTGGATTCAAGTTTTCATACAGTTTCTAATTATAAAGAATGAAATACAGGGAGCAGTGGCGTGGCAGGCACGAGTAATGCGGTGGTACCTGCTGCGGTAGCGGCTGCGGGTGCGGCAGCGGTGGCGGCGCCCGCCGCGGCCGGCAGCGCGCCGGCGCCCGACGACTCGCTGGGCGCGCTGCCGGCCGGCTGGGAGCGGCGCGTGCAGCCCGACGGCCGGGTCTATTACGTCAACCACAAGAACCGCACCACGCAGTGGGAGGATCCCAGGACGCAGGTACGATATGTGTTTCAAAAGGGGATTGACCGAAAGCAGGCCGTGCACGGTCGTCGAATTTACTCCATTATTGGTAATAAAAGAATAATACTTTTAATCCGACTTCAACCCTTCTTTTTTTGAAGTCGGTTAATTAATATACCTTCTCCTAAGTGTAACAAATACTTTTCTGAAAACTGCATTAAAATCAGTTTTGCCAATCGCGAGATAGTCGCGCACATAATTTTTTTTTCTTTTTTTTTTTAAACAAAAGCCGCACATTAGAATTTACTCCTGTGTCGTGGGTGCGTTTACAAACATACAAGTTCACATACACAAAGACACCCAGACCCGGAACAACAATCTGTGGATCACACAAAGTGTTGTTCCGTGCGGGAATCGAACCCGCGACACGTTGCACGGCAGCCGGTTGCCCAGCCACCGCACCAACCGTGCAGTCTTATACATAGTACATACAGGTCAAACTGAGAACATTATTTTTGAAATCGGTTAAAAAATCTTTTCCTTGTAGGGGGAAACTAAGAGTTGAAGGAAAACATTTATTATAGTTTGAATGATTAATGACTTTACTTTTTATTCTTTTTATATCTTCTTATATAGTTCAACAAGCCGACACTTAAAAGTTCGATTTTGCCAATCTCTTCAATAATTATCATAATGATTTTTATTCTATGTTCCTAACTACTTTTTAGCTATTCATTAGTAGAGAAGCTACACACCAGTCTTAACCAATATAATAACCTAAGTACTTACTTAGTTGATTACTTTAGGGACGTTTACAATCATTTGCTTGTACAGGGTCAAGAAATGAGTGCTCTTGAAGAGGCTCTACCGCCAGGGTGGGAAATCAGATTTACTGAGGAAGGCACACGATACTTCGTGGACCACAACACTCGTACGACCACATTCCAAGACCCGCGGCCGGGCGCCCCGAAGGGCCCGCAGGGAGCCTACGGCGTGCCGCGCGCCTACGAGCGGTCTTTTCGCTGGAAGCTCAGCCAGTTCAGATATCTCTGTCAGAGCAATGCACTACCCAGCCATATTAAAATTACGCTGTCCAGACAATCACTTTTTGAAGATTCGTATCATCAGGTATGTATTTGCCTTTGCATAATTAGAGTATTCTTTTTTGACACAAAATTGTTCACGAAACTACTAAAACTTAAAATTTTCTTTCAGATAATGAGGTTGCCTGCATACGAGTTGCGCAGAAGATTGTATATAATATTCCGTGGTGAGGAGGGGTTAGATTATGGCGGCGTCAGTCGAGAGTGGTTTTTCTTATTGTCACATGAAGTGCTGAACCCTATGTACTGCCTGTTTGAATACGCTAACAAGAATAACTACAGCTTACAGATTAACCCCGCCAGTTACGTGAACCCAGATCATCTTCTGTACTTTAAGTTCATTGGCAGATTTATTGCGATGGCATTGTATCACGGGCGATTTATTTATTCAGGATTTACAATGCCTTTTTATAAAAGAATGTTAAATAAGAAACTCACTATGAAAGACATTGAATCTATTGATCCAGAATTTTACAACTCTCTTGTATGGATCAAAGATAATAACATAGATGAATGTGGTCTGGAAATGTGGTTTAGTGTGGACTTCGAAGTGTTAGGGCAAGTTATACACCACGAGCTGAAGCCGTCTGGAGACAAGGAGCGTGTTACTGAGGTAATAATCAATCAATCAAATAGCAGATTAAAACAGGTGATTGCTACATTGTATACTTACATGATATTTATTTTTTTGTAGACTAATAAAGAACAATATCTGCAATTGGTCACTCAGTGGCGTATGACGAGAGGAATCGAAGAACAAACTTCAGCATTTTTGGACGGATTCAATGAGGTGAGGAAAACAGAAGATTTACAAATCTTTACGGATTGTACATAGTATATCGAGGAAAAGATACATCTTTGCTAAGGCGTTAATTTGCATTACAAAAATATTATGACCATTATAATGAACACATTATATTAATGATAATTTTGTACGTCAAGTGTATACGTGTGTGTATATTTAAAAAATTAGTATTTATTTCTTAAAAATTGGCTACAATAAATAAGAAAATTAAATTAAAAAGTATTGTCGTAAAATCAAATTGAAATAATTATTTTGAATATTTTATTAACTTATGACTAAACAAACTTTAAAATAAGAAAACTTACCTGATGAATTGGTAAATTAATAATTTTACAAATTGCAGGTTGTACCCCTAGAGTGGCTTAAATATTTTGACGAGCGCGAGTTGGAATTGATGTTGTGCGGCATGCAGGAGGTGGACGTCGATGATTGGCAACGAAATACTATTTACAGACATTACACTCGTACCAGTAAACAAGTTCTTTGGTTCTGGCAGGTTCGTGTGATATTATTTCTTATAAAATATTTTTACTATTATAGCATCGTTGTTCAGTACACTTCACTATAATATGCATTTTTTCTTTATGTACTATTTAAAAATGTTTATTAAATGCTATTTTAGTTTGTACGACAAATGGATAACGAGAAGCGAGCCAGGTTGCTGCAGTTCGTTACTGGTACCTGTCGAGTTCCTGTTGGAGGATTTGCTGAGCTTATGGGATCGAATGGTCCACAAAGATTTTGTATAGAAAAGGTAATATTGAACATTTATAAACCATTAATGGCTTTAACTTACAAAATAAAACATGTTTCTAAATTTTTTGATGGATCCTCATGATGATGAATACTTTGTTGCTTCTATGTCACAGACCACCGTTTGTTAATTTTGCAGGTTGGAAAGGACACGTGGTTGCCTCGATCTCACACGTGTTTTAATCGACTCGACTTACCACCTTACAAGAGCTACGAGCAGTTATGCGAAAAATTAAATTTTGCAATTGAAGAAACTGAAGGCTTCGGACAGGAATAATTTAATTGTTATATGTATATTATTATTATTATAGAATCACTAAAAGTTATTGTAAATTATTATAACATGAATGCACCACCTCAATATGAGGATTCAATCACCAATGGAATTGGTGCTGTCATAAAAAGACCAACCAAATAATTATATGAATATATTTGTAATAAATTACTCTTACATGATAAACTATGTAGATATTGTTAGTGTAAATGTCGGTTGTTTAAGAAATATTTGTTTGAACTACACTTAAAACAAAGTTCTCCTAAAAGTTCATTAAATAATTTTTAAACAGTGAATATATTTTCATTTTATAAAATACAAGAAAATTTTGGGTGTATTAAAAGTTAAAAAAAAAACATAAATTCTATCTATGCAGGTAACTAGATAAAAATAGATCTCCTAAAAAGTATGTACTTTCTTGACTCTCGAATTGGATAATACCTTGTTGTTATGTATCTTCATCATTGTCGGGATACAGAATAAAAAGGTACAAAAGGTTTCTTATAATTACTCTGTAAAATCAAATTACGAATTCGAATCTAAAAACAACAGCGCTAATGTTCATAATGATTTACACGATTCGGACGTAACGAGCACGATGTCTGGGATATTCTCTGTGTAGTGTCATTGCCGTGTTGAGGTGGTAGAACCTCCCGACCTCTCTTAGGATCTCATACTTCGACGAGACAATATTGCCATCCTCGGTCTTCAGCTTCGTCATTTGTCTTTGTCCATTTCTTTGCGAATTAAGAATATGTTGAGCCCGTGCTCCGCGTAATGGCATCTTTGACTCTTGCGGCGTTATAAGCACGTAGCGCGGTTACATGGACTTTCGCGATTCACCTATTGAACTTACCGTATTCAGACATGTCGACTAAAGAGTGCAGCCTATCTCGTTCTGGTCCTTCAGTAGTTTCAATGTTCCGTCGGTGAGTTTTTGCGGTTTGTTTCTACGTTCTTAAAGAATTCTGACCCCAGTGCTCGGACAGTTACCACCAACTAATCTCGTGTATAGTTTTGCAGTCGGTCAGGTACTGGAAGCAATATACAGTTGGAGTTGGAAAGCTTTGTTTTGGATCTGGGTGCGGTAAGGTCGGGGTGTGGATTTTACCAGGTCTAACCTTTTCAGCTTGACTTGACATTCAGTGTGGCTCTAAAAATCGGGTGATCGCTACCGGTTTTAATCTTAGCAATCGCGACATAACATTAAAAATAATGTGTCTGCACATTAACTATTTTTCAATAAAACAAAAATAATAAAGAAACGGTAATAAAGAAATATCTAAATGAAAGTAAAAATCTGTTTGTCTGTTTACACTCACTAATCTCCAAAACTAAAAGGATTTGAATAAAACTTGTTCTGTTGTTTAATTAATATACATGGGCTATGTAGGGTAGGTATACATTATAACACAGAAATAATATAATTAAACTCATAAATAAATTAACTTTATTTAATTAAAATAGAAAGTAAATAATTAAGCATTCGTATTTGAAACAAAAAAAATGAATCGATAAAACGTTACAACGTTTATAAAAACTTAGCACAGCTTTAAATTAGCAAATTCCTCTGCAACTTTCATTGCTTCCTCAAGACTGGCGAAATTATTACCAGAAGCTTGACCAGATTCTGCTTTACCACCACCCTTGCCACCTATAACTGGGACAACAGACTGGATCCACTCAGAAGCTAACAGACCTTTTTCGATCGCGTTTTTAGGTACAGCAGCAAGACAGAATATTTTGTTTGTTTCATCGTCTACAGAGAAGAACATGGCCGCGGTTGCTGGACAGAGTAGCTTTACTTGTTTTAAGGCGCCATCCAAGGCCTTAGTATTGCCAAATGCTTTTAATTCTGAAACAATGACCTTATTGTCCTTCTTTTCCGTGCATATTTCTTTAGCTCTTTCGGCAACTTGGGTGATAGTCAAAGCCTTTGCAGCCCTTTCTTTATCATCAAGTTGTTTTTTTAAGTTTTTGAGCATAGTTCTCAATTCTTCTTTTTTCCAATACGATATCTGAGCTTGAGAAATTTCGTTCGTAAGGTCAACAATTTTTCTAAGAATTTCCTTCTGATTCATGTTGTCACTTTGATCTTTAATGAAATTAGCGATATTGTTTACTTCATTTTCCAAAGAGCTCGATTTACTTATAGCCTTCAATGCCTCTGGCCCAGTCAAGGCGACAATTCGGCGTATTCCTTTCGCAATACCTTCTTCGCTTACGATTACATAATCCCCAATATGACCTGTCTGATGCAAATGTGATCCACCACAAAATTCTACAGAAGTTTCGTACGCGGCCGGTCCCTCCGGGTTTTTCTCCAATTCCTCTACTGGTATTCCAACAGAAACTACACGAACTGGATCTGGGTAGTGTTCATCAAACATAGCTCTTAGGCCCTTTATTTTTTTAGCTTCATTTAAGCTCGTATGTTTTGCATAAACAGGTTTATTTTTATAAATAATTTCCTTGATTTGATCTTCTGTATCTTTTATTTGCTTTAAAGACATTGGGCCTTTGTTAGTAAAATCAAACCTTAGACGGTCTGGCATAACAAGAGATCCACGTTGATCGGAGTCGTTTCCAAGAACTTTTCTTAGTACGTTATTTAAAACATGCGTTCCAGTGTGGTTATTCATTACAAGCCTTCGCCTTTCAGTATCAATGTGCAAAGACAACTTATCTCCAACCTTTAGAGTGCCTTCAAGTTTTCCCATATGTAGCACATATCCTCCCTTAACTTGGACGTTAGTAACTACGAACTCAACGCTATCATCATCAGTTTTTACCATATATCCTTCATCATATATTTGGCCACCTTGTTCAGCATAGAAACTAGTTTTGTCCAGGATCACCCCACATTCTTGACCAGAAACTTCATTTACAAATTGTTTGTTTTGTCGTAAAGCAATGATGGTCCCAATGCAAGAACTAAAATTATATACAGCTTCGTTTTCACTAGATGATGCAACATAGTTGTACTTAGGAGAGTCGTCTGTGGCAGGTACTCCAGTATCTTGCAAATGGCTTATGGCATGTACATCTAATGCCAATAAATCTTCTTGACCGGCAGCTTTTCCTTGCGAAATTAATTGAGATTCTTTCTTAGATTTTTCGTAAGCCTCCATATCTATGGTAAGCCCATTTTCTTCACACATAAGTTGTGTGAGATCAATAGGAAATCCATATGTATCATAAAGTCGCCACGCGACATCACCAGGTATTACTTTTCCATTTAATTTTTCGATAGTTCTATTGAGTAAATTTCTGCCTCGTGTAAGTGTTTTCAAGAACTGTAATTCTTCCTCATTTATCAGTTGAATCAAAGATAAGGGATCTTTTGTTATTTCAGGGAAAACATCTCCCAATAGTTGAACAACAACATGAACTAAAGACCCAAAGAACCCAGGTTTAGCATTAAGTTTCTCAGAGGCGTAACGTACTGCTCTCCTTAAAATTCTTCGAAGCACATAACCCCTACCAGTGTTATCGGGACATCCACCATCTGACAAAGCAATTGTAAGTGTTCTAGCATGATCAGCCAAAACTCTATATGCCATATCAATCCCATCAACATCTTCAGCTCCAACTTTTCCAGTATAAGGCCTTGCACCCGTGCCAATTTCGATTGCCTTAAATATAGGCATAAAAAAATCAGTGTCATAATTAGCTCTCTTATTTTGAATTACTGACACTAATCTTTCAAGACCTAATCCACAATCAATATGTTTTTTTGGCAGCAACTTTAGTGAACCATCGGATTCTCTATTAAATTGAATAAACACTAAATTCCAAATTTCGAGTACATCAGGGTCATCCATGTTGACAAGATGAGCTGCATCACGTCCTCCGATTCTATCATAATGCAATTCTGAGCAGGGACCACATGGTCCTGTTTCACCCATTTCCCAAAAGTTATCCTTCATACTACCAGGTAGAATGTGTGACTCTGGGAGACCTAACTTGAGCCAGATTTCTTTACATTCGAGATCAGGTTCAAGTCCTGAAGCAGCATCTCCTCCAAAATAAGTTACATACAAACGATCCCCAGGCAATTTATAAACTTCAGTGAGAAGTTCCCATGCCCATGCACATATTTCTTTCTTAAAATAGTCACCAAATGACCAGTTACCCATCATTTCAAAAAATGTATGGTGGTAGACATCTTTACCCACATCATCAAGGTCGTTATGTTTACCTCCTGCTCTTATACATTTCTGGGTATTAACAACTCTTACATACTGAGCCATGTCAGAGTTAGGGTCAACAGACCCCAAAAAGATGGGTTTAAATTGGTTCATCCCAGCATTAGCAAATAGTAAGGTTGGGTCATCTAAAGGTATTGTAGATGAAGAGTGAACATATTTATGTCCTTTATTGATGAAGAAGTCAATAAAGGATTGTCTTATCTGGTTACCACTCATCGAAGTATCCATTTTGAATCTATCTGAAACAAATAAAATTACTCTATTATACAAAAATAATTTTCAGTAAATGTTTTATTAACATTATCAATGGTTTGTTATAAAAATAACATGTATGGATTAAACATTCATAAATCTATGATGATTTCAAACTAAGTAATTTAAAATAAGGAAATAAATAACTATTACTTAAAATGAACTAAAAGTAATAGAGAAAATTAAATAAAACACTACACAACTAAAAATGACTATACAGAGAGCATCATATAATTCATCCGCATCAATGTCAATAGGGAAAGTACCCAATGGGCTGGCACCATTGTCAAGTTGTATGGTAATGCTTAACCTCTGACAGAGGATGAGACCAGCCCTCTGGTCACAAGATATGTCGACCAGATCATGTATTCTAAACAGTTATCTTTAACAATATAAATGCATTATGCAATAAGATAATAATTATGGTGACCTAAATTTTATATTGTTATGATTCACATGATTCAATTGTTTTTATCTTATATACCTATTTTCAACATTCTTGGATATTATATAATAGGGTAGATGACTAATTATATTTTAACGTCCGTCATGGTAGAATATTTAATAAGATTAGTTATTTTTTATTTTCTTTCAGAAACGAATAGTTTCAAAGATAATACATTGATTTGAAATATTGTACCATCATTGTCACTTTTGAGTATGATTTCTACTCTAAAATAATGTAGTTACCTCCCACTCCTAAACTTTAATACATTTTATCTAAGTATTGTTTTCTTACGACAATATAAAAAATGTGTCAAATATTTTTTCATTACCTATTTGATGGAGTAATTAGATTTTAAATTTTGATACCCTGTCATCATCCCTATTATAAAGAATTTGTTTTCACTATAAATCTTTCGATTTGAGGACAAAGGGTTAGAATTGTATCTTTTTTAAAGGCTTTTCAAGGTTTTTTGAAAAATTAGTAAGATAGGTTTGTAAATAGGATAACATATGGTAGTTCTTATCGTTATGCTATAATAAGGATTACCTTAAACATTAAACTTAAATGTATAATTAAATATGTAACAAGCTTATAGTATTATAGGCCTTTATTATAGTATTCTAAAAATATGTGAATAACCAAATCAATTAAAAAATATTTTGAAAAGCAATCCAAATTAAACTATTCAAAGTTTTGCTTGCCTTCACACACCAAATTACAATTGCATCATGCAATATTCATGTTGTGCAGTCTAGGTACATACCACTAGGTATACATATGTACAATTGTATATGTGTACATATTGATGGAGAAAGGTTACTTAGCAATTTAACTTTAATATTTCTCTTTTCAACACAAAATGAGATCCATTAATTTCGTTGTTTTTTTTTTAGAATTATAATAAATCTATAAAACAAATTGTACAAGTCACCTACGATACTAAAATAAGTACCACCTACCATATGGTGAATACTGTTTCGAATACAAATAAGTGCACAGCAAATAACAATTTATTAGGAAATTTCATACATAACAACAAATAACCTAAGAATCATACTGAATAAAAAAAACAATATGATTCAGTTCTGTAAAATAACTCACCGGTGAATTTTACGTGAAAAGTAAACCAACTTCTTAGCTTCAGTACTTGCCAGAATGCGTTCACCAAAAATGTTCAATCAGTAACGAACGACAGCAACCAAGTCACCACTTCCACTTGCATGTTCATCTGTCAAACGATTTCGACGTTAGCACAAAGAGTCAACACAACAGACCAACATGACACATGACAATGACATTAACGGAAGAAAATGCCGCGGTATCCATAAAACTTTTTTGGTCCATTTTGATGAACATCAAATTCAGAACAAAACATGCACGCCCCACGCCTAAATGAAAGGCCTGATAACAAAAGAGTACAAATCCATGACATTTCAATAAGTAGATGAGAACATGACAGCTGGTAGCTCTGCGGATGGCCTAACGGGTTACCGTGGTTCCCGAGTCCGGCTCCAATACCCATAGAACCCAATACTTATTATAGGTACTCTTTGGTAGCCAGTATACTTTAGTACCTAGGTAGAATTTGCTCTTTGGGCTCGAAGCAAGAGCAGTCTGGCGTAGGGACGGGGTGGTTTTTATTTTAGTCAGGGGCCTGTCCTGACATTTTACGCCGAGGTTGCGAAATTCAACACACTAAAATAATAATAATATATAATGGATGTTAAAAAATTGCACTGGCGTTAAAAAATCGCGCGGGAAAGAAACCTATGAATATTGATACAAGTGCAACTTCAACGTGAGGCGGTGGGATTTATTTCCGAACAAATATTTTGTACAGTATCAAGTATGACTGTCCGCACTGCAGATGCAGAATAATATTAAAGCGGAGTAATCGTTGGACCAACTCGATCTAGTTGTAATAAATAATATCGAATGATTTTTTGGTCATTTTGTAATATCCAAAAAACTTTGCTGCACCTCTTGATGATTAACGTAGATAATTCCTTTCATGGGCTTGAATATCGCAAATGGGTGAATGTTCATCATATCTTTGCATAATCATGTATGTTACCCCGCCTTAGTACTAGATAAATTAAAATTTTAGTTTGGTTGTCCATTTCAGACACACGTACCATAACCGAGAACTGAACAGAGTAACAATCTCATTAATATGATCACTAATCCTGCGGAGTTAGCTCGCCTATTGGCTGTGGGTGAGTGGAATCAGGCCTCTGGCTTCAGGCACTTCCGTCACTCAATATTGGCACTATGTTGAATGACTCAACTTTTCGGCTTGCTGCTTGCTTGCGTGTAGGTGCACCCTGCGTTACTCCGCATCGCTGTCAATGCGGTGAGATGGTCGAGCCTCCGGCCACCACGGCCTAATGTGTAGCAGAAGCGCAGGCCGGATAGCCCAACACGCTAGCATTAACGACATTATCCGTCGAGCTCTTGTCATTGCCGATGTGCCAGCTGTTCTGGAACCAAAGGGTTTAGCACGCGACGATGGTAAGAGACCCGACGGTATGTCCATTATGCCCTGGAAGCTGGGAAGGTCTTTGGTGTGGGACGCAACCTGCGTCGATACCCTTGCACCTTCTCATCTTCCAGTAACGGCGAGTTGTGCTGGTTCGGCTGCTGCCTCTGCAGAAAACCTCAAGCGGCGCAAGTATAACAACCTTGCTGGTAGTTATATCTTTGAGCCGTTTGGGGTTGAGACGCTAGGGCCGTGGGGTCCGAGTGCGCTTAAATTGTTTAAAAACATTTCGAAACGCCTGGTCAACACATCTCGTGACCAGAGGGCTGGTCTTTTTCTCGGTAAGAGGTTAAGCATTGCCATACAACGTGACAATGCTGCCAGCCTTCTGGGTACTTTCCCCACTGACTTCGATGCGGACGAATTTTTCGATACTTTATGTAAATAGTTGTTTCTGTTTTTCTTATAACTAATTTTTAATCTTAAGTTGTATATATTTAATTTAGTAATATTTAGTTTTAATTTTATTTAAGTAATAGTTTTAATTTAAGTTTTTTATTTGAATAAATTAAATTTTACTGAACAGAAGTCAGAATTTTTTTTTCTTTGGCAACCGAGTCTCCAACACGATGTTGTCGACTATACTGCCAGTGTCGAAGTCAGAATTAATTTGACATTTGACTATTGACAGATGATTGATTATTTTACTCTCAATTTTAATTTTCTTACATTTTAAACGATCGGTACGATTTATCTATTATTATTGTAAAAGTAGTGATGAATTATTAATAATACTATTTAACAAATACATACTCGATTTGGAGCAAGAGGATAACATGGCGCTAACCTCGACTTTATTTAAATTTTACAAGGGGCTTTGTTTAAGAAATAAAGAAATAACATCACGCTTTTGTAGTGCTGTACAGCATGCAAACGATGCTAACACTCTTCTGGCGGTGAGAGAAAAAAACAAAATGAAGTATTAAATCCTGCTGGTGAAGATTTGTCGACCATAACACCTCACTTTTCTAATACTTTTAATTTAGCAGCATATATTAACCAATCTGAAACACTGAAAAATTTAGTTGATTTAAATGTTAACATAAGTAAAATTGAAAAGAAACCTTACATAGTGGAAAGATTTTTGAAATTAGATTTTGAAAAGGATATGAAGAACCATATAATATTTCTCAATAACTATATTGATATGGAAGATATAGGCAATTTCTTAACAAAAAATCCAATGATTCTCTGTGAACCATTGGAAGACCTCCAAATACGAGTTAATTATTTGTACGCCAAAAGTTTTGAAGAAAGTCAAATTCAGAGGATTATTATGAAAAATCCTTTCTGGTTGTTGTTTAGGTAAGCATAACAAGGTAAACTCATATTTCATTATTTTATGACATTATAATAAGTTTCCACTATAATTATTTGGAAAGATTTTATGGCTTATTTTTGTCCCCTTCCTTCACATCACCTAATGATTTGTTCTTTATAGCGTAATATGATATGACAGCATATATGATGTACATATTTTTATTTTGCAGTACGATAAGGATAGACAAAAGATTAGGATTCTTTCAAGAAAGTCTTAACTTATGTGGCAAGGAAGTAAGAGATTTGGCAACCAAGCAACCTAAGCTAATAACCTACAATATACATAGTGTAAAATGTAATATCTTTGTAATAAAAGAGGAAATGGGCTTTGAAGACACAGAAGTGAAAGAATTAGTTTTACACAAACCAAAACTTTTAATGTTGAGTAAGTATTATGATAAATTTTTATTTAGCTTATCTATACAAGTCGCAGAGAACAACAACCACTAATTTTTAAAAATCCTATGAAATGTGTGCACCTTACAGATCTTGTTATATTCTATATATATATATTTATAGTTGGTTATGCCTAATGGGTATTACAGAAAAATTATGTTTTGATAACTGTTTTATCCATTAAAAATCACACAGATATCTGGTTATTAAAAAATTTTACACATAAAATTTGTCCAATCTTGGGGGGTCATTACACTACTTGTTTTCTATATTTACAAGATTCATTGAATATACAATTTAATAGGTAATAATAAATGTATAGAAAAACTATTTTTTTTATAACAATTCATTATCAGCTGATATACTAGAAATCAATTGTAATTAAGTATAATTATAGTAAAAACTGTGCTTTTTTGTTACAGATCAGCGGTCCCTGTTTGAAAGATTCAATTACATCCACAATGTAATGAAAATTTCACATCAAACAATCAAACAAAACCCTGAAATATTAATGTGTAGAAAGTTTAGAATAAGACAAAGACATTTATTTTTAGAAAAATTGGGTCGCTCGCAATATGATCCTAAGAAAGAAAATTATATTCCAATTAAATCTCTAGTTGAAGATTCAGATATAGACTTTTGCAAAAATTTTGCAAAATGTGGTATCAATGACTTTAATAGTTTTTTGAAGACTTTATAAGTTAACCAGCTTTTCCTAATACAATTTTATTATGAAATGCATTTAAAGAGTGGTACAAAAAAGCATCAATAATTCCTGCAACTGTGAAAACTCCACCAATTATAGCACATATATTTGTTGCAAAATGACCAATAGACCTGAAAAAAAAAAGATATTGTTTAATGTATAATATGTGAAGCGAATAAATGTTTATATATTAAGACACTTGCCTTTCTTTTTCCGTGTACTTAACCATAAGTGGTGAAAGTTCATAGCTAAAAAATGCTCCAGGCATTCCTGACTCTGCATTTATGTTTGACACTGATTTCTGATGTCTTGTAACTGAAAACTGATTTGTGTGTAAAACTGTTCTGTCTAGTTTCACATACATAGTTGGAACTATTTTAAGATAGTATTGGAACATAACTGCACCTGAAAAGAAAAGAAAGAAGTTAAATTATTTTTGTATGTTATCAAGCCAGGAAGTTAGGATTCAAATTATGGTGATAAAATAATAATAAGGTTTATTGTGTCATTAGTAATTCTCGCACGGTTACGATTGACCAATTTTGAAAAACCGCATAACTACTACAGGGACCGTGAATAGGTTTTAAATGAATAATATGTTCATAATCTAACATAATATGTTAATTGTAAGTTAAAATAGTTCTTGACAAGTCGCAGGTTACTAAAATGATGGCAACACTGCCTTTACTGAGAGTCAAATTATCAAAATAAAATAAAATATGAAACGCCCAACCCAATTATGTACTTTCTTTAAGTACCCTGTGTCAAAAACGTGAAATTAAAAATAGTAACGTCAAAACCCAAAACCAAAGTAATTAAATTGTCTATGTCTAATGTCACTTGTCAGTTTTTAACGTACTTCGCGAGGGCTGGGAATATCTATAATACTGATTCTGGTCTGAACATTTCTGATACTGGAAAATCTTAACCAAGATGCCCGTACCAGGCGGAGTCTACCAGAGTCAAGGACCATCTTGTTTCGATAAAATGAAAATGGGCTTCATGATTGGATTTTGTGTCGGAATGGCGAGCGGCGGCCTCTTCGGTGGTTTTACAGCTTTGAGGTTATATAAACCTGTCAATTTATTTGTTATTATTTTGTTATCATATTATGTTACCTAATTTATGATTTTAGATATGGAGCTAGAGGAAGAGAATTAGTACATTCCGTTGGAAAAGTTATGCTTCAAGGTGGAGGAACTTTCGGCACATTTATGGCCATCGGAACTGGAATACGCTGTTAATCAGTTTGTTCAAACAATTTTTGTACATACAGTAATTTAACTAAGTGCTCAATGCACTTGCCTAACCTTTTATTAGTGTTTTAATATTATAATTCACTCTAACGGATTTGTTATTAAATATTATTATTGATAGCTTTTAATGGTGTTTTTAATTTAATCGTAATGTAATATAGTAACAGGTAAAGTTATTAAAAATAGTGTAGATATATCAGATTAACTCTTTGAGTACCGTCATTATAGACACAATTAACATGTTAAACGCCATGGCAGTCACCGATAACCGACATTAACGGAGGATTTGCCTTCAACAGTTTTTTATTGGCAGCCAATGCCTTAAAGAACAATAGGTTGCGGACACCGGTGACCGCTTTATGTTTGACAGTTTAAGTGACATACATTTTGAATTTTTTTTTAACAAATTGGGTTGCAGGAATACCTTTTTAAGTTTTTACTGACCAGTACCTGATCAAGATAAGCAATGACATAACAACCATTTCACTATACTTCTAAAAACAAAACTTACCTTCCTTAGCTATACCATTAACTCCATCTAAGGGTGCAGTGTTGGCACCTTCAATGTCTGTTCCGAAAGATAAATGTCTTATAAAATGAGTTGTATTAAAAACTGATGATGAATAGGGCTGTACATCATGGACATGTACATGATTAATTGTGAAACTTTTTCCTGGAGCTATGTGGAAGCTTCCTCCAACCTGAAATCATATAAATATTTACTGCTGAATGCTATGTTATAACCAGAGGGCTAAACATTAATATTTTGATCTTATTAAACCAACTTATTCTAGGTCCGCAGACCAGGGATTAAAAGTTATTGTCCATTATTGTATATTGATATTGTCTGGTAAGTTAAATGACAAACAGTATTAACATTATTGATGAGTGTAGACTCTATATCTGATATAATAATATTTTGGTATAAGTAAGTCAAAATACATACTCTGTTGACTTCCATGTAGCCATAGATTTGACAGCCTTCTTTGAGAGCTAAATTAGTTTTTTCAATAGATTCATCATTTTTACATTGCTCTATTGTAGACAAATCAGGTAAGGCCCATCTTCTTATTCTATATGCTTCCTTTACATCTTCGCAGGTATTGCAACACCTATTAACATATGTTTTATATTATGTTGCATTTAAACTTCATCAAATAGAAAAAAAAATATATACAACTACAACATTGTGTGTTTATGTGCAACTATAAATTCTATAACTGGCTTCTGTCAGTAGCTTTGCTCGCATTCCGGTAAGATAAAACTAGCCTGTTTTATTCCAGGCCATTACCTTCTCTTCCAAATTGTATTCTAATACTTTCAGCTGTTTTGACTTGATTGAGAAATTGAGAATAAACATACATACAAACTCACAAACTTTCGGTTCATATAATATTAGTGAGATGCTTAAGTTATATGCATTTTCCGTATAGAAGTGTTTTTTGTATGTAAACAGAGCATTCTGGTTTTCGAATCTGAATTCCTGATTGTTAGATTTGCATGCATCAAGTAAAATCTTCATCACATCTAATGATTACTGTACCTAATTTGAAATTGGTATTGTATGTAGTAACTTACTGAGATTCATTAAGTGCTGCTCCGTAACAACTGCCACATGTGATTATTGCCACTTCAGAAATGTTTTGTTTTACCTATAAATGATTTTGGATATTTGTTACAACATTTAGTGACAACAGCGGCCTTAGTAACAGTTTGTTTTACATTTAAACTTTAAAGTAATCGAAAAGAGACCTCTCTGACTGGCTGGCTCTAATAAACCGAACACGGTCTCGTTTTGATTACTTCATCAATATTTAATTGTAAGTTAAAACATTAAGTTACACAAATACTATGATATACATACTGTCTCTATGTGACAAAAGGGCTTTGGTCAGCAGTGCGGACTAACAGGCTGATGATGAAGATGATATAAGGAAGCAAAACAAATACAATTCACATCATGTTGGTTAGTTGTTACCAAGCAATATGATTAATGGTTCAATTTACCTGTTACAATATTTTAGGTGGTATTTTTTTGGCTCAATAACAAATGCTGACTTTTGATCTTTTAGAAACTTCTAATACCATACAGATCACACCAATAAAATATTTAATTATGAACTGCCACCATGGCCCTCCTGAGTTGCCTTTAAATAATTGTAACATCTATGTAGGGGATTCACTATAATCCAATACTACCTACTCAGTGAAAACTACTCAGCTGAGCTTTGAGGATATGGACAATAATGAAAGTTAACAATAATATAAGTTCCAAATATCTTCCTAATTGAAATTGGTTTATAACCCTTGCAGACCGCAGTTAGTAATGATTGACAAAAGTTAAGTTTAGTAATCTTACTGTAGTAGATGTTGCAATTTCTTGCTTTTTTGGTTCTTCTATTGGATTTCCATTGAGATCCAATCTTCTCTTATGAATGTTCTGTTCCATTTGTAGATGCTGTTCTCCTGATGAATCCATAGCATCAAGTACTAAATCTATAATACAGGTAAAAACATAAATTAGTAACTTAATACATTTTTAGGCATTGGCAACTCAAGCAACTGATATGGGCACAAGTACTGACTTAGATATTTGTAATTGATACAAGTTAAAAAACTGTATAGCAATAAATATCCTTATTGTTATTCAGTAGACTGTCATGGGCTGTGGATGTTATGTGATATGGCTAAATTTTTTATAATAAAGAATAATTCTGAATAATATAAAAAATTGAGAAGAAAATAATAAGACTCTTTGTATTGATTGAAATAATAAAAGTAACATTCATCATATCCTATTTAATTTTGTAACTGCTTATAATAATATAACACTTCGTATTGATTGAAGTAATAAAAGTAACATTAATCATATCCTATTTAATTTTGTAACTACTTATAGTGAACTATCTAAATTTATACTTACAATTACACGAGATTGTTGGTACGACGATATCTAAATTTATTCGAAGTTTATGGCCTCTCGATGTATCTACGAACAACTCTTCAGAAATATTTGGTGACATGTAAGTGTACAGTTCAGATAGAAACAATAATACCATCATCAGTCCACCGGCAACAGTTACTGCAAAATAAATGTTAAATTATGTTTATACAAAAATAAACATGAATTTTAAGTTTTAGTTAAATAAATGATAGATATTCCTAACTCACTTGCTGCGCCGGTTGCAGTTTTTATTCGGAAGTCCTCTAATGTCTTAGCATATGCATCTAATTGCTTAAACTTATCAATTAATTGAGATGTCATCGTATCGTAAACTTAAAAGTCTTAATTACTGAAACTATACTTCGTTTGTTTCCTCAGTCAATAATTTTGATGTTTTCTATTTTGATTTGAGTTTGAAGCACTTCTCTCCTCTGGCAGTTGGCACTGACAGACTTGCACAGCAGTGGCACTTTCTCAGTTAGTTGGCTTAGTCAGCTGTCAATGTCTGGTTGTCCAAATGTCATTTGTTACTTGTTATGTTCACAATATACCGAAGCGTTCTGATTGGACTTTCTTAACTGATCTGCCAATGACATCTTTTTAAGTATTTTCGGGTTACCGGTTACGAAGTAGGTTCAGGATTTAGTAATATACGGGCCGATTTTTCAATCATCAGTTAATTCATAACTGTATAGTAGGAGAGCTGGCAAGAATTTTTGGGTAGGTATTTGAGGCAAGCTGAAAACTTGTCCTGTACCTCTCCTATTATATGAATTATATCCCAACACGAAACTGCAGACCTGGCTGGTGAGTAGCGGGGCTAATCAAACCCCAAATTTTTTTAAATATATAATTTTTATATCCAAAAATATACTTGAGGCAATTTGTAATTTTTATATGTTGTAGTTTAATTTTTACAGAGTATAAAAAAAATAAGCCAGACGATTCAGCCGGGGTTTTAACATTGCCAGACGCGTTAAAGAATATTTTACTAAAGAATATAAAAAATGTATCTGAGGCAACTTGGAATTTTAATAGACTATTATTTATAACTAAAAAATAAGACTCTCAAAAAGACAGATCATTTCTGTGGGACTTTCTAGTGGTTTGAAGTGGTTTGATTTAGCCCCGCTACTCACCTGCCAGGTCTGCAGTTTCGTGTTGGGATATAATAGGAGAGGTACAGGACAAGTTTTCAGCTTGCCTCAAATACCTACCCAAAAATTCTTGCCAGCTCTTGGACTAGTAGAATAAAAATGACATTTGACAGTTTTCAGTATGGAAGAATTGTCAAATATTGAAAGTTATTACTCAGTTTCAGTTATCTAAACTGAGCGTTGCAAAAATGGCCCTATAAAAACTCTCTATTAGAAAATTATATTTTATATATTTTGTTCAAGTAAGGAGATAACAATTTCGATAATTTCACTTAGTTTATTAATTTCAATTGATTCATAATGGGTACGTAAAAAGCCGCGAATTTCAAAATTGTACTCAATCCTATAATTCGTAGCTCTATCTAAAGGGACTACTAACTGTGAATGTAAAGTGTTATTAATTTTGAGCGATATTAAGCAGTCACAAACACAAATAAAGATATTTTAAATAAGTCGATGCTCAGATATGAGCACCAATTGGTTATCAAGGTCCAAACTATAAACCCTAAATAACTAAGTAGGTAAGCATTTTATTTTATTTCCATAGTAACAATGATACATAATTGGTAATAATATAACAATACAAGAGTTCTATAGTAAATATTATCTTACAATTTCATTAGTAATTAATTTAATTATATCCAACAATTCAAACATGCATTTTAATTTTACTTAAAAATTATATTTAGTAGGTAATTAATCAATAATATGTTTCCATTTAATTAAACGGAACCCCTGTACGGGTAAAGGCCTCCTCAAGGTTAGACCTCTTTTCTCTATTTTGAGCTTCTTTCACGCAGCTCTTGCCAGCTATAGCTCGAATATCGTCCACCCAGCGTTTGAACGGGCGGCCCACACCTCGCTTGCCAGTGCTGGAGCCTCTCCACTTGGTTATTATTATCTTTGTCCATCTTACATCCTCAGAACGAGATAGGTAACCCTTCTATTTCCATTTTACTTTTCTTACGTGGTTTATTGCGTCTGTGACCTGTGTTTGTTTGCGGATTTTCGAGTTCTTTTTTTATCTGTAACTTTAATGTTCATCATACATCCATTTCCATTGCTCTTTGATATATAGCAATTTTTGTAGCTGTATTTTCCTGTAAGCACTAAGTTTAAGCCATATGTAAGGCAAGGCAGTACACAAGAGTCCAGTATCATCTTTTTTTAGTTTGGTAGACAGTTTGTACTTCATTATGTTTTAACGACCAGTACCTTTTCCATGCTGAGCCGATTTTTCTCTCCAGTTCTTCCATGTCTACCTCTCTAAATGATAGCTGCTTACCCAGGTACAATATGTAGCCATCTACGTACTCTACATTTTCACCTTTTATTTGAATTAGATTTGGGATAGGTACTGTTGGTAATTATTTTGGTGTTTTTCAAAGTAGTTTCCAATCCAACTTTGATGCTTATTAATTGTAGAGTTGTTAGCATGTCACTGAGTTCTTCAGCGGTGTTAGCTAGTAATGCACTGTCGTCCGCGAAACGTACATGACACAGGTACTTCCAGTATTTCAGGTACTAAGAAAATTAGGATAGACTGGATAGATACGGCATTCAAGGATCAGAATGTTAGATATTCGACTGAAAACTTGTGAAAAATCTTTATTTAGTTAGACCACAATTAAACTTGTCTCAAAACCTACTTATTACGATAAGTAACTTTCAGCGTCTTAGGCTCGCTGTTATTGCAGCGGTTAGTTGCCTGGTAGATATCGCTTTTAGCGATAAGGCCGCCCTTGTACCCTTCTTATTTTCTGTAATTTCCTGATAATGTAGCATTACTCGCTTGGTGTATAATAAAGCTTATATTAAGTACCTGTGACCCTGTATAAATTGCCAAATGTACATGTACATTTCACATATGATGGATACTTTCAAAATTTAGCACCATTTCCTGTACAGCTCCTAATAAGAAGTTACAATTTCGCTTTGGGCACCTACTGGCCGATATTTATAGCCGTAAACGAAAAGGCGTGGAATGAGTCTGACAAATCTCATCGTAAATTATGCAGACTGGACAATGTTAAAAAACCCAGGCTTGGCGCAAACGGAAAAGGTACCTATCCGATTTATTTTGTAAAAATATGAAATCGTGGCATCATCAAAATCGATGGCTGGTAAATTGTTTTGTATGTCTGTTATTTGTTAAATTTGTATTTTGTTTTGCTGTGTGGAAATACCTACATAAAATTACATTAATGTCTTTGATTATTCATCATACGTATCACTACGATCTGAGTAATAGCTAGAGTGAGAGTCACTGTACCGGTGTTTGTATGTGAATTGTGCAATGGTTTTGGAGACATCAGTACCTAGAGGTATTCCCTACACTATATACGTAGACATACAGATATTGTCGGATATCGAAATTTAAGACCCTTTATTTGTCATTGTTTATAGGATAAAAATATTGAGTTATTTAAAAGTTACTTTTTAAGTAACATACCTAGGTGATACCTACCACTAAAATAATGCATGTAAGAAATCGATCGAATCGATCATAATAAGAAATCGATAGGTAATATATAATTCAAATTTTATGGGTGCTATTTATCCGCAGACCTATTTATTGCTGTTTAGTGTCAAATTAACTCGGAGTCGGTTTATTATAAATCGAAATAAAATTATGCTTAAGTCAGCATATTTGATTTAATTACCTACCTATCGATTTAAACACTGTAGATACCTGCTGGCTACATCACGTGGTCTCCAAAGAGAGACCCTACCTTTCCTAAATGAAATCGAGTGTAAACATGTTTTTAGGCACGTAAAAGAGATTTGACTGCCGATTAGTTGACTTTAGTAATGAACAGCTTTTCAAAAACTTGGTATGAGACTTGTAATGTTAGGATAAAAAACCTAGTCTAGGCCTACTTAGCTTACTCCTAAGTAAGTTCAAGTTTAGGTACACGAAATAGGTTATCGAATACCTACTTCATTATTTTCATTGTATAGTAGAGCCAAGGAGCTAAATAAATAGACAAAACGGAAGGGGTAGGGATAGTTTAGCGAGTGAATAAAATGTGATTTACTAAATTTAATAAATTTTATTGTCATATGTAGGTAATTACCTAAATTACTATGAAACATCAATTTTTAACTACATTTGCTAAAAATTAGTATTTGCAGTTGTATTACTCGAGTGGTTGTCACTTACGTTTTTCACTTTTATATAATGTATCTAATTAAAACAAATTTCACTGCAAGATGACGCCCTGCCACATCCATAATAATTACTGTATTTATTATTAACATTATTGAGTATTATTTACATGTGTACAGTCTTTTTAATTTACCTTAAAGAGATCACTTCTTAACATTGAAGCCTTCTCCCGTAGGATCTAGGATCCACGGGTAGTTGTTAGGACATTCCATGCAAGTGAAAAGACGGAGTGTCTCCCCTGGTAACTCTCGAGTTGTAAGGGGGCATGCATTTGGTAAGGAGCAGAAAGGTTGACCTTTCACATCACATTTGTCTTGCTTCCACTCTTGGAAATCTCTGAGTGACGTCAATTCTGTTGGGTTTTGCATCCACTGGATAACTTGAATTAGAGAGGTGAAGTAGACATCGTTCTTCTCCAACATCTCTTCGATGAATTTAATAAGCTCGTCCCTGAACTCCTTTTTCGATTTCAGCCATGAAGCATGGAAGTGGAAACCAAGAGGGGCACGGTTAGTACTGTAGTGGCGGTTGAAGTTGTGGCGCAGAAGACGTGCGAATTGTTCTCCGGTTTGAATGTTGGAGCAAGAGTCAACCACATGGCAACCAGGAAGCGATTCATCGAAAGTTGGGTCATCTCGTCTGTCCAATTCATTCATTACCATTTCCCAAACTGGGTGACTTCTGGATGGGCAGTTGTGCGCGTTACCGTTGCATTTATGGGGCATGCGGAAGTATAGCGTGTAAGGCCAGATAGGAACACGTCCAAGAGGAGCAGTAATTGAGGCATCGTAAACGAAGTATTGATCAGCCATCATTTCGAATTGCTTGTTTCCTCCAACACGTAGGTAAGGTGCGCGGACGCCAATGATTGACGAGTCAGTAATATTAGCAAATCGTTCAATGATTAAACGAGCGCCAGCCATTTCTGCTAACCAGTCATCGTAGCTTCCGCTGCTCCAGTATTGAGGGTCATCCTTGTGAGTTATGGAAAACACGGAAATTTCGTGACCTTTACGGTGCAATTCTTGCACAGCAGCATAGTTGGTATATTTGTGAGATACGAAGAATGTACCACGAATCTGGCATCCATTGGGATTATGACGGTTTCCGTTGAAAATTTGTTCATACAAGTCAATGTTGTCAACATTTACGGCACCGTTGAAGGTTATTGTTATCATTTGAGGCACTTGGTTGACCTCAATACCTCCAGGAATACGAGTTCCGTCTGCGGAGCAGAAACAGTCTGGCAGTGCGCACTGGTTGGGGTCACAGTCCGGAGCTCGGTTGGGATCTAGGTCGACAGCTGAAAAAAAGGTGTAAAACATGTATTTCAAGTGTGTTGAAGTGTCTTTTCAAATTTTTCCAGGGGTTGTGTTTGGTTATATAATCTACATCTTAAATAGTAGGCATACTTACTACAAGCATTTTCGTCAGACTCATCCTTGCAGTCAAATTTGTTATTACAGAACAGTTCCTTTTCAATACAGTCACCACTTCCACAAGCTAATTTTCCTTCAGGACAGATTGGCTCATCCGTTTTGAGAATAGGCAACACTTTCCTCGGTTCTGTAAAATAGAATACATCGTTACACTTGCAATTTAACCCTTTTTACTGGGATGTAGTCGAAATGTTCGGCTTACACACGTACGCAGGTGCCTCTCATATATTTGCTTCGTATGTGTTTTTATTGTAGTAGTGTAATTCAATAAGAAAATAGAAGAAAGTCAAGCATGACACGATGATCAAGTTAACAGAAGATAAAAAGTAAGAAATAGGATAGCTAATAAATAAGAAGGTATTCTTGACGATTTAATTTTTATTTGGTTATGAAATAGTTACAGATTGATTAGATGAAACTGTAAAAGACGAATTGTTGGTATCGTATTATGATTTCAGGATGTTATGATGTAATAAGAAGAATTTTACGTCATGAATGAAACCATCGGGTATTGAGCGATGACTTTGCTTTCCAATACCAACATTTATTAAAGTAAGATATTAGAGCAAACAGACTTGCATTCAAATACATATTTTAATTGACTTTGCAGTTATTCTAGCATTAAAATTCCATGAATATTGTATTTCGTACAAAATTGGCATATTACGCTGTCAACTTGATAAAATATTAATATTTGAATGCAACGTCTATTAGCCCTTGAAATGAAATAAAATAATTTAAATTAAATAAAAAGTTTTAGGAATACCTTATTTTAATAGCAATATTGTTTAGTTATGTTAAAGCAGGTTGGTGTATAATACATATTGTAACTAACATAGTTGGTGAACACTAAATAATGGTTAGTATCTAAGTTCCCTCCACGAAAAATAGTAGGTACAATGTATTTAACTTCTGTTATTATCATGGTAATGAAGCTAAAGCCATAAGTTAGCAGGTAGTGAAAGATTGCAGAATAAGTAGAACTGTTTTGTGTAGAAGGAGTCGTGAGAAAACAAAACGTAATAAGAACTGAGATATATGTTCGTGTAGTTTTCAAAGTTACTAACAAGTGAACGAAAACATGTTTTTCGGTGCATTGCATGTACTTAAATATTATATTTGTCAATAAATCTGTTGGAATTGTGGGATAGTTTTGAAAATATCTGTACTATTAATTTATTTGAAGGCTTATTTTACGAATGCAGGTGAATATGTATTGCGTGTGAGTGTTTGGGTTATATTCAACATACCCAAGTATGTATTGTTCAGTAAAGAAATTAATAGTGTGTGTTCAGTGTACCTAATTGTTGCTGTGGAAATAATGTTAATGCGTAATATTCGGTTCGGTCCACGCGGGCCGCTCCCTCTGTCCGGGGCCTCATGCAATACACCTTAACTACAGTGCGACGCGGCCCCTTCACCCAAGCCTAGTTTGCTCGCTACGCGCCAATAGCTTCTTTTCGGCACTTACTCTCAAGTTTGTCACAGTTGGTCACTTTACCCTTCCAGTCGCAGGTTTGTTTATCAAGATCGAATGCCAGTCCAGACGGGCAAGTGATTTGTTTAAGACCTGACCTAGTGCACCTGCGTTGACAAGAAATGTGACATTTAATTAAATGCATAGTAGCAGGAAGTGGGCATTCGGAAGGCTAACGTACACCGGCTTGCGACACTGAACCGGGTCCATAAAGGAAGTTTAGCCCTCCGTACGACCACTTCCGCCATTCAACGGAACTTACTTTCTATTTTGTCGCAATTCTTAACATGTGTTTTCCAATCACAAGTTTGACGGTCGATATCGAAGGCGAGACCGCCAGGGCAGCGCACTGAGGCGAGCCGAGTCACGCCGTTCTCACCGCCTTTGTCGCACCTGTACACAGCAATTCTTAGCAAATAGCAAAATGCTAGAACTTTACAACTTGGAATAGAAATCTATACGAACACGGTAAGGCAATTACAATAGTTCTCTTGCCTATGTAGACTGACTGTATTATTGAAGGACGGACTAAAGACTAGAACCAATAACTCTATTGATATCTACTTCCAGTCTTCCAATCTATCAGTCTATCAGTCTCGAATAATAAATTATAAGTAATATTTAACTAGCTACTTCCACGCGGTCTCACCCGCTGTTCTGCACGGCACCTAAAGGTCATAGCATGATATTTCATAAACCCTTCTTCGATAAATACACTATCCAACACAAAAATAATTTGGTATTGAAATCGGACCAGACATACCGAAGATTATTGCATTTAAACAAACCAACGAACAATTTAACTTTTTAGCTTTATATTCATACATCTAATGCTTTATAATACTATCTAATATTAACACATAAAAAGTACTAGCTATTCTCGCGCGGTGTTATCCGCTGCTCGGCTACTTTTGTTCGTGGCATGATGTTTTATAACCTATAACTTAAATTCCTCATATATCCAATTAACCTGAAGTTCCGGAGATTAGCGCGTTCAAACAAACAAACTGTTTACCTTATAAATTAGTATTAGTAGGCACAGATAGATAAACGAGCATCACATCAACTTTAAATTTATACATGTAGTTATTGAAGTACCTAAAGAAGTAGCCAATTACTGTACCTAGTACTTTTGTTAGTAAACCGAGACAAAGACTTTCAAAGTTATTTAATTTTTAAACGTGAGCTTTAGCGTACAAGTTCACCATTCACTCTAATATTCACGGCACGAGGGTGACCGTTCTGTACACAGACTGGAATATCAAGTCATTACCTTGCTGCATACTAAACAGTGTCCATAAATATATCAAACGACAAACAACGGTCCTTGGCTCTATGCTTAGCTACAAAATATTTTGGAATGGAAAGAACTTTAGACTAGCGCTGCATACAAACCGGTACTGCAAATGTGGTGCGGCGTGCTAACTTTCTGCTGGAAGTAATTTATTAGATCAGTATTAAGTGCAAGATATACCCATAAAGTCAACCTTGCTAGCTTTCATTACGACTGACTGATTCGTGAAACTGGTTTGTTTACTAACCAGTTTTCTCTAGACTCTGATAGAAACATGACAAACTTATGACGACAGAATAACATTGCAACTCGGTCATATTTCGAAACCTTCTATCACAACATTCACAATGTGGGTATATTCAGTAGTTACAACAAACGAAATATGCTAAGACGTAGTTGTGCAAAACCTACCTGACTACATCGCGGCAGTCTCCTTCGGTGGTGAGACGGAAATACTCGTCAGCCGGGCGACCATCGCACAACTGTTCTGCGTTGACCTCATCTCCTCCGTCCTCCTCCTGCCGCTTAACCCGCGATTCGCCGGTCACTGCAGCAAACGTCATATTTTTATATGGGTTTCTATAATCACCTCCTCTTAGTTACATAACATTTTGAACCAGAAGGAGTAGATCGATTCCACAGCCTTAACGTGTTCATTAGGTAACACCACTTAACGTAAGCTACTATTACAACACAGCGGGTGAAGGAATGTTGTAGCTGCAGTTTCATTGCAGTACCGAACATGTAGCTAGATAGACATGTACATGTCGTGCTCATTAAATGCAACACCTGGACATAAGAACGGTTTTTACATAAACCTTTAATGCGCTACGGGTATTTTTTACACGAGTGTGTATGTATGTGCAATTAAAATTATGAATGTAATGAATGTTTGTGCAATGTCCTATGACAGAAAGGACTTGTCTCAGATACAAGTTTTTTTGTATTTTTTAATCAATAGCCACGATATTTTTAAAATTATTCTAAGTTTAGAATATTCTGAGTTAACTGCAGCTCTACTCCAAGTCGGCATTGAAAGTTGAAACGTTGAAAAGAAATCGAGGTCAAGCGAAGTAAACGAGCCACGTCGGTAGCCGGTGTGTTCTTTCTTTGTTACTATAATCGAACTTTAAGTTATGTAAACGTAAGTTTTGAGTTTGTGTTGAAAAGTTTAACAAAATAAATTAAATATACCAAATCAAAAATAAAATCTTGTTTATAAGTAAATTTTATACCTACTCAGATAAAATACTAACAAAATAATTAAGTGAGGTATTAAAACGAATATTAAATTTATTTGGGGTATTCATTCCCTTATCAATTAATTGATAGGTATATTATGATTATAAACACCAAGTTTTCAAAATAATATAAATATATGTAAAAAAATTAAAAAATATGGACAAGTTATGTAACACTAAACTAAATGTTTATATGGTATAGATACAGGTGTATCCATGTAGTATGTAAAACTACCGGCACTTTTAATAATAAATTTAAACGTTAAACAAAACATAATAAAAATTAAATTTAAAAATATGTGCAAAAGAACTGCATTAAATTTATCTATGTATCGTTTTTAATGGGATAGTATTATTTTTAATTTTATCCTGTAAAATTTTAGCACCCTGTTATAGGCATTATAAAATATATAAAACTTACCGAGACAGCTGAGCAACAACACACCAAGACACAGACACGCGTGTCGAGCCATGATGCTCGGCGAGGACTGGTCGCTGCGACGTTCGCCGTCAAGAAAGTGCAAGAGGTCTCGCGTTGCCCCTCTTCACCTATTTGTATTTATATAACCTGGCACCGAACTCTCGGCACCCAGCAAGCTCAGACACATCAGCCGTCCTATAGGTACTACACCTCTGGACGATATAAACTACTGTACTAAAATCACAGCTATTAATAACCATTCGATGCCGGCTGGGAACAACATGAATGATAATTATGCTATTGCTAATGATTTTGGTAAATCACCTTCAGAAACTTTCTTTTGCAGTATGCGTTGCATTTACATCTATTATCGGATACATCAGCGTGCTTATTTTTTAACGTCAGGATGTGACATTGGAAGATTTCAGGTAGGTATTTATTACCTAACCATATTTCAGACATGGGAACAACGAAATATTTTCCAAAATTATGTTTTTTACACAGATATATCAAAGTTTAAACCTAAATATAAATAAATATATCACCGTCGCGTCGTCTTGATGTAAGCTTAAGTACCTACATGAAACTTCAACACAGGAAGTTGTAGTCATGGCGAATGCAATTAGACAGGCGGAAGATCAGCTGATTGAATTGTGCATTTACCTTCCTTCACCAAATTATACAATACGTGAGTGTTTAGACGTTATTATAATTTTTCTTGTGTTTGTGCATTTACACATATACATATATTTTAAAATCCTTCTTCATTCTTGATTAATAGATTTCAATTGAAAATTTTCCACAATTTCTTTCATGTCGTGCATAGGAAAGCATCGCTGTTGTTAATGTTGATGCCTTGATGTATATATATATAATACGAATCTTGATATTGCATACTATATTTCCGTTTCCATTTATAGGGAAATAAAAGTTAACCAGGTCACCTTTAGCATTATCAGGGTTGGGTATCGATTTAAGTATATAAATAATTAATTAATTTTCATCAATGACACTGTTTTCCAACATTCACTGATGTCGTGGGTAGGTACTAGAGAAAGTAACATTTTTAAAATCTTTAAATTAATGGAAAACCGGTTGACATGTCGGTTTTTGTAAACAATTTTTGTATAAAACATATAGGGCAATGTTGAGAATGTTTACAATTAGAATGTGTGTAAGTAAATTTTCTTTCTGTGGATGTTTGTGTTTAAAGTTTTACATAATGTCTCGCTTAGTGACCAATTCTCTTAATTTATCCGGATTAAATAACACTTATGTGTTAATATAATGTGTAAATTATACCATTACTTTTAAATGATAATCACGACTGGCGTTAGTTAGGCGGGTGGGTATAACGGGGCCCCTGACAACATCACCAACTTGTTTTACAAGTCAAGATTCTAGGTACACATATAAGCAAATATGTGCTGTTAGATATGCCCACGATATATCCACTTATTTTTACAATTCTTAGAACTTACTTGATGTGCTTTTTCTTTGATTTTTACAAATGAAATTCATTGTTACGTAAAATTAATAATAACATTAAATGAATATGCTGCATGCATTAATTATTTATATAAAATTTGAAATTACGTATTCCGTTGATGAAATCAAAATCTAGTTGGGAGTTTATATTTTTACGAAACTAACACTCATCTCCCAGACGAAATCAATTGTTTTTTTACATAGGTAATTTATTAGGTACATTATTGTTTTGATGACAAATAGGTAAATAGGTAGCAACGTGGTATTAGTTTAGTTTGAATATCATATTTATGTTAACATTTTACATATATATTACAATGATATCTAATTGTTAACGAGAACTTGGGGGTCGAGTAAAATAAATAATAATATATCATTTAACAGTATATTGGACCGTTGACGTAGTCCCGGTGCTATGTTCTGAGTGAAACTACCCAAGTTAGTAAGCTCTACTATATATTGCTGGTAAGTTAAGACTGTTAGGATGACCAACTCTCGGGCAACTTGCAAGTACATACATACTATAATCTTGTATTATCTATCATTTAATTTTATTTAATATACATTCATAACTTCATCCCACAGGGGCAGGCAGAGATTATGGACTGCCAATTGCTATGATTTTTACATACTCTTACGCTACATCAACATTTATCAGTCTTTTCATGCATTTGTTTAACAGCATTTTATCAGAAATGTCTACACACATCTACCTCTATGTGTATTTTTACATATATATACGTGTATATATATATTGTATATCTACTCAATATAGCATTACTCAATCGTAGTAGGTAGGTGTATTTTATATTTGTATTAATAGAATCGACTAGACCTTCAAAGATGAATCGATTTCATTTAATAAAATTATTATAATCATTGTATAGTATTAAGTTCCTTTTTTGCATACTTGTTAAGTGAGACTCACTTTCGATTATCGACGGAACCTGTTTTATATAAATTTATGTCAATGTCAAATAAAGGTGGAAAGAAGATCCCAATATATAGGTAATAAGTATATGTAATATAGCAAGTATGGTAATGCGTCAGGTTGGGACCGGCCTGTGATGTTAGGTTAATAAAAAAATCACAACTCTGTCAGTGGCCTTAATTGTAGCTTCGAATTAAAGTTTTATTTGGGCACACTTGTGAATAGGTGTCACATAAAAAGTAAAATATGCACAACGGTATCTCTTTCAAAATGTCTACATAATTATGTAAAAGTAAATCTGAAAATGTCAATATATTCAGAGGTCGTGTCTATTTTAATATACCTACATAATAAGAAGATATATCTGTCAAAAGTCAAGGGCATCGAATTACTCGGCATCATTTGGAAAATGGAATTTTAAGTAACTATAACATTAAGTTTGTAGCCGAAGTAGTCAGTCAGTAGCTGTACTGTTTGTTCATATATACAAGTATAAATAAGTGCGTTACATGCCGGCTGTGGGTACGCTTCGCTGAATAGTAATATCAGTAATATTATGCTATAATGTTATAAGTTTTATTTCATGCAAGTAAATGAATATGTTCGATATCTAAGAAGACGTTCTATTTGTGGTCATGTTGAAGGCAACCTATACTAGTGTTAGCCTTTTTTTGTTCCATTTACGAGAATGTGTTTACAGAATTAGTCGAATAACGTCATCGGATTATAAAAAATACTAACAATGAAATCAGTTGTACTTACCTAATGTATTGAGGTACTTATCTTCTTAAAATGTAAAACGATATGATACAGCCAATTTGATTTTATTAGGTTCACATAATTATCTTCATCTTTAGTAAATGCTTAGGATGACGTAGAACTCATACATTTTCCTTAAAGCCAAAGTTTGTAGGTAATTTAAGTGCATGATTTTAAATATGGTAGCTTGTGGACGGACTTACTATTGTGCTCTATATTGAAGTACTTTCAAATCAGAATCGCTTGTGGATTTAGTGGCGTATTCTCTGTCCGATTATTATCTACCTACCTGTTATTCTTTACCTAATTGTTTTCGTAAATAAAAATGGGAAGGAATTACGAATTTACTACTAATATTTTAATACCATTTTTTTTTATAAATATTAGGTATTTATTGTTATGACCATTTAACAATCTGTATCTAATTTCGATAATTTTTTTTTACTATTCCCCATTATGATACATAATAATTATGTATGTATTTTACATACTCTTAGTTCATCTATTATCATATTTTGCGAATCTCTTCTTCATAGGCATAATTCGGAACTTTTTCGGGTCGTCAAGTTTACATAAAATAACGACACACCCTTACAGACAGTGTTAGAGCGTGAAAACTACTTTTCATTACTCGTGTTAGTTTTACTTAGTATCAGCCAGATACCTAATTTAATGCTAGGTAGGTATATAGGCTTGTTTTCTGTCATTTATGATAGCTGGAAGTAAATGTCAGTTGAAGTATAGATGGCCTTGCGGCAACATCCGGGTACCACGGTTATGTAATGTTCGAGGAACAACGAGGCTTACGAGACATACATCGAGGCGGCGGCGGCGAGCTGCGGACGCGGGGTCATCCGTGTACCCGCGTCCATACCCTCACGTCTCTCAACAAATCACACCGGTTCAACGTGATGCGCTAGTAACGGCTAGTAGAATAGGTGGCCAATAACAAAGATCTCACTATCCAGTGTCCACAATCTTTAAGTGTGGTAAAACAGAACAGAACTATGAATAACATAACATAATGTTGCCTATTTACATTTCGATAACTTCTTCAAAAATAAGTACCTCGGTTTAAATAAATAATATCTTGAATGTACTGTTGTCTACGTACATGGTCTATGATTATAGGAATAATGTATCTCATGCAATATAGTGTTCATTGAAACATACGGCTTACTCATGTCAAGTAATGGAGGAAAGCTCTACCAATTTCAAGTGACATTGGGACTCTAATCCTGAGTAGAGTGCGCTGCATGGTGGGGTTGTGAAGCTAACTTGAAACTTGTAAAGCTTTCTTCCATTAGTTCCCGAGAGTAAGCCGTATATTTCAATTAATTTAGTTCGAATCATGAAAGTTATTACACTAAAATAACAGCGTTGTAATTTAGTGATACATATTCTTATTTCTGAATAACAACAATATAATCAATATAATGTATATTGTAATTCTCTGGGCAGATGATTAAAATCAATATTCTAAATTCTTAAATAGATTTTAAGCTAAAATAGACTGAATAGACTCTTTAACCACTATTTGAATGCGGAAGCAGACAGCAAGGATTTATGTTTTATTAAGTTGTATTTGTGTTCCTTGAATCGTCTGCAGTAGTTTTTATTTAAGCTTTATGTTGACCTATCGAAAAAATATATTTCACGTATAATTAGCTAGATACCTATTTTGTAAGTGTATCCATTCAAAGTTATATTGTTACATAACTGCGTACATACATACATAAGAACTTTTTGGTTCGTTTTGAATTATATTTTTGAATGCAGTTGAAAATAAATTCTACATATTGGAAATATCTAGTCAGTCATTTGCACTTTCGTTATCTCACGAAACACAAATGCGTTGCGTAAGATTCTGAAGA